CATCATCATAATAATCCTCGGCATCATCAACCTCATCATGAGCATCATCATCCGCATCACCATCATCAGCAGCAGCATCACCATCATAATACGCATAATCAACATCATCATCATCACAATCGTCATCGAAGCATCATCATCATCAGCATCAGCATCATCATCATCATCATCATCATCATCATCATCATCATCTGCATCAGGGTCATCAGCATGAGCATCATCATCATCGTCGCCATCCTTGGCATCATCATCATCATCATCATCATCATCATCATCATCAGCATCATGATCATCACCCAACAGCGTCAGCATCATTATCGTGAGAATCATCATCGTCATAATCATCAGTATCATCAGCATCATCATCATCATCATCATCGTCATCATCATTATCATCATCGTCATGATCATACGCATCGTCCTCATCATCAGCATCATCAGCATCTCCATCATCATCATCATCATCATCATCATCATCATCATCATCATCATCATCATCATCATCATCATCATCATCATATGTATATGCATCTTCATCTGAATCGTCATATTCACAGCATCGACATCATCATCATCATCAGCATCATCTGTATAATCGTCAACAGCATCATCATCAGCATTAGCATCATCGTGAGCATCATCATCACCAGCATCATCATCACCATCATCAGCATCATCAACATCAACATCATCATCAGCAGCATAATCATCAGCAGCCTCAGCATCAGCATCATCCGCATTATCATCACCAGCAGCATCACCATCATCCTCATCATCATAGCCATCATCATCATCATCATCATCATCATCATCATCATTGCCATCAACAGCATCAGCATCACCAGCATCAGCATCATCACCGCCATCAGCATAACAATCATCATCAGAATCAGCAGCAGCAACAGCATGATCGTCACCATCATCGTCATCAGTATCGTCATCGTCATCGTCATCGCCATCGCCATCGTCGTCATCATCATCATCGTCAGCATCGACATTATCAGCATATTCAACGCAATCGACATCGTTACTGACATCGGATATACCATCATTGTCATCATCAGCATCACAAGTATCATCAGAATCGCCATCTTCGTTGTCATCGTCATTATCATCATCATCATCATCCTCATCATCATCATCATCATCATCATCATCATCAGAATCGTCATCATCATCATCATCATCAGCATCATCATACGCATCAGCATCATCATGAACATGATCATGTTCCTCATCCTCGCCTCATCCTCATCATCACACCCTCCTGGTCCTCGTCCTAATGTCCACCCACATCATCATCAGCATCATCAACATCAGCAGCATCATCATGAGCCTCGTCAGTATCATCATCAAAATCATAAAAATAATAATCATCATCAGCATCATTATCATCAGCATCATCATCATAGTCGTCAGCATCATCATCACCATCATCATCGTCGTAATCGTTATCATCGTCATCACCGCCATCATCATAACAATCAGCATCAGCATCAGCAGCAGCAACAGCATGTCATCACCATCATCGTGATCATCATTGTCATCATCATCGTCGTCAACATCATCGCCATCGTCAATGTTGTCATCATCCTCATCATCAGCAGCATCAGCAACATCGGCATGATCAGCATCATCAAAATAATCGGAATCGTTACTGGCATCGGACCCATCCATCATCGTCAACAAACTCATCATCATCATCATCATCATCATCAACAGAATCGTCATCTTCAGCGTCATCATAATAATCACCAGCATCATCATAAGCATCATCGTCTCCTCATCCTCATCATTACATTGCCCTCGTCGTCGTCCTAATGTTCGACCGCAACATCATCAGCAGCATCATTGACAACATCATCACCAGCGGCATCATCATGAGCATCGCCAGTATCATCAGCATCGCAATCATCATCACCACCATTAGCATCGTCGTCCTCATCACCATCATCATCGTCGCCATCATCACCACCATCATCGTCGTCATCATCATCGCCACCATTGCAACCATCAACCACATCGGCACCGTCACCACACAAGGCGATCGTCGCCATCCCCCTCCTCCGCTTCCGGAGAGGGGCGCCCAGCCGCTCGCCCGCGCGTTTCTCGAGGAGACCGCTCGGGCCCGCTCCTCCGCAATTTCTCTCCCTCTCCCGCTGCCCTCGCCCGCCTCCGCCTCCGCCGCGCGCAGGGCCCCGAGAGCCCGGCGGCGGGCGGAGGCGGGGGAGATATGGCATCGCCGAGCCGCGAGGGAGATCGGCGGCGAGCGCGGGGGGGAATGCAGATAGAGTGGCCCTGGGACACACAAATTATTCACTGCGTGGAGCTCCCCATATGTGCATCTATTCGCACGGACCTGTCCGCCGTGAATGTCTAGGCGCAAGAGCTTTCGAACATAAACGGGCTTCAGTTGTGACGGTCTGGACATAAATCTAACTGCGAATGAATTGGAGTGTGAATGAGCCTCAGTAGTACGAGCGCGTCTCTGTGCATGAGCCTGGGGCCTCCTGGGGCCTCCTGAAACCTACTGGGGCTTCCTGGGGTCTCCAGGAGCATCTTGGGGCCCCCTGGGACCTCCTAGGGAGGTTTCGTGCCCCAGGAGAGGCGCAATATATCGCAACCGACGTACATAAAACATTGCGGATTAGAGCCACAGGAGAAGGGCAATATATAGGAACACGCGTAAAACACCAAGGACTCGTGCCCCAGGAGAGGCCCACTCTATAGGAACATAAGTAAAACATGTAGGATTGTGTACACAGGGGAAGGACAATATATAGAAACATACGTATAACATCAAAGAATCGTGCCCCAGGTGAGGCCCAATCGATAGGAGCATACGTAAAACACGTGGGATTGGAGCCACTCCTGTTGCCTTCTGAGGCCTCCTGCTCCTGGGGCCTCTCGGGGCCTCCTGTTGCCTTCCGAGGCCTCCTGGCGCTTCCTGTTGCCTCCTGGGGCCTCCTGTGGTTTCCTGAGGCCATCTGGAGCTTCCTGGGGCCTCCTGGAGCCTCTTGGGACATCCTGTGGCCTCTTGAGTCTTTCTGTGGCCTCCTGATGCCTCCTGGGACCTCATGTGGTCTCCTGGGGCCTCCTGGAGCCTGTTGGAGCCTCCTGTGGCATCCTGGGAAGAATCTGCGCCCACGAGCCTGGCCACCAAAACAAGCAAACCGACCGAGACATCCTCAAAATCTGGCCCACCTGGGGGGTGAAAATGAGCGCGTCGCTCAAGACATCCTCCAAATCTGCTCCGAAAGCGAAGGATGTTGGGACAGAAAACAGGCAAACCGCTCGAGACATCCCCACAAAATCCTGCGAAAGGGGCTGAGTGAAACACCCCCCCGCCGCTCCCCTTAGGAGTGCTGAAGCCACAGAAGCGCCTGAGACATCCTCAACATCAGTGTGTGTGTGTGAGTCATCCGATGAGTGGACCTGAGTGAGTGTAGTGAATGTATGAGTACAAGTACGAGTGAGTCTGAGTGATAAGTGAGTCTGAGTGATGAGTGAGTCTGAGTGATGAGTGAGTCTGAGTGATGAGTGATGAGTCTGAGTCATGACTGAGTCCGAGTGATGAGTGAGTCTGAGTGATGAGTGAGTCTGAGTGATGAGTGGGTCTGAGTGATGAGTGAGTCTGAGTGATGAGTGGGTGGGTCTGAGTGAGAGGAGTGGTGTTCTGTTCTCTCTCTGTTTTTCCGGCGCGGTCCGCCAATAACAAGAACCCCATACTTAGGATATGGGGAATAAAGGTACAAATCCCAGGGCTCCCCTATACTTTCTGATATGTTCTGGGTTGTCGTCTTCCCCCCCCCCACCGCACTTTCCAGTCTTCCGATATTTTTCTGGGGGTCGGGCGTGTTCTTGGATGCTTGGAAAAGGGCACCAGCGCCAGTCCAGAGGATTGCCTCCACTGGGGGAAGATGACCCTAGATTGTGACGTTGGTGGCAATATTTCGGCCACCTGAGACACCTGCACATGACCACCATCACCGAGATCGGGATCCTCTTCCCTCGGTGGAGGCACGCCGCCGATATTGGTGTTGGAGCTAACCTCTAGGCCTGCGATGCTCGCTCTCGTGAACTCGGGCCGCTGGAAAACAGGAGCCCAAGGCCAATGAATTATATAGCTCGCGGCAAGCGCGCCCGGGCCTGAGCAGGGACCGACCGTCCCGGCATTCCTATAGTCTTAGTCCTACCACGAAGTGTTCTTAGAACCCAGAAATGTTCGAAGAACAAAAACAATGTTCTTAGAACATAAACCCGATGTTAGAACAAGACAATATCAAGCAGAAATGTTCTAAGAACATGTCGTGGAAACCACAAAAAGGTTCTTAGAGCATTGTTCGGTAGGGCTATAGGCGAGCCAGGACGCTTCGCCACTGCTTGACGGGCGGCGCGCCCCGCCCGCGCTCGCCAAGCACCCCCCGCGGGCCCAGGGCGAGCCGGCGCCCGCTGCCGCAGCAGAATTTGGGGGACCCTGCGAGCGCCGGCCGGGCCGGGGCCCCGCTCGGGCCTCGGGCGGGAAGGCAGGGCGCCAAGGCGAAGCTCGGGCCGGGCGACAGGGGGGGATAGCATGGGGGGGGTCAAGGCCAAGGCCTCCTCCTCTTCCTCCTCCTCTTCCTTCTCCTTCTCCTCCTCACTCCTCCTCCTCCCCCCCTCCTCCTCCTCCTCCTCCTCCACCACCTCCCTCCTCCTCCTCCTTCCGCCTCACTCCTCCACCTTCCTCTCCTCCCCTCTCCTCCTCCTCCTCCTCCTCCTCCTCCTCCTCCTCCTCCTCCTACCATCTCCTCCACCTCCTCCGCCTCCGCCTCCCCTCCTCCTCCCCTCCACGCTCCCTCCTCTCCTTCCTCCTCCTCATCCTCCTCCTTCCTCCTCCTCCCTTCTCCTCTCGCCCTCCACCACCTCCTCCTCCTCCACTTCCTCCTCCTCCTCCTCCTCCTCCTCCTCCTCCTCCCCCCATAACAGAAGGGGGGTTTGAGAATCAGCTCACGTAGCTGATTTCCCGGGCGCCTCCCGGCGCCGGGAGGCGCCCATGTATCGAGGAACAGGCCCGACGGCGGGGCCGAAACCAGCCGCATGCAGCAGATTTCGTAGCCCCCCCTTTCCCAATCCCCCCCTTTCGGCCGGCCCGAGAAGCCAGGACGGGTGTGGAATCGGGTAAGGATAATCAAGAATCTCTGAGCCCCGGCGGATCTGGAGGACGTCTCGGGTCATGCTGCTGCAGTCGTACTTAAAGGCAACATCCCAGAAATAGTTTCGAGCACCCGGAAAAGAGTCGAAAGAGCGTCGAAGCAGTGTCGAAACCGTGTCGGACGAGTGTCTTCCAGGGCTCGACACGTGAAAACCCTCGAGTTGCGGTACTTTACTGGTGCTCGAAACTCTTTCTGGTGATCAAGGCTAAAGTGGGTCGGAACATCATGAGTCTCGGGCGCCGCGGCCTTCTCAGAGCGCTCCAGAACGCTCTGCGAGCGCTCCAGAAGGCTCTGACGGGACGCAAACCTCCCCGTCCTGGCCCCGTCCGAAACGCCTCTGCGCGGCAGCGCGCCAACCCTCGGCGGCCGCGGCCCTACCGGCTCAAGGCGAGGCCGCCTTGCTGCCGCAGGAGCCGGCCTTGGCGCGCGCCAGGCCGGGGTCCCCTCGGGCCTCCAGTAGCAAGCACAGCGCCTCCGCGTGGCAGCCCTCGGCGGCGGCGGAGACCGGAGATGGGCCGCCGGGCGGAGCGCTGGCGATGTCGGCCCCAGCCTCCCGCAGCGCTGCCAGGACCTCCGCGTGGCCCGCCCTGGCCGCTATCAGGGCGGGGGTGACCCCCTCCTCCTCGCAGAAGACCACGGTGTACGGCTCGTCGCGGGCCTTCATGGACTGCAGCATCGACTGCTCGTACGGCTCCCCGTCCATCGACACCAGCCGCCAGCCCGGCTCCACGCCTCTCTCTGCAGCCTGCCCGTCGGGAGTTACCTCGGTCACTCTGCCCGTGGTGTTCGTCAGCTTGAGCTGCAGAGGCCCAGGCTGGATGGTGAGCGAGTGCTCGCGTGGAAACACCGTCTCGTTGACGTTCCCCCTGGCCTCCAGGAGCAGCCGCAGCGCGCTCGCGTCGCTCATCGCGGCGGCCTGCAGCACCGGGGTCAGCCGGCCCTCCGGCTGAAGCATGTTGGCATCGCCCCGCGCCTCGAGCAGCAGCCTCAGGGCACCACAGCTGCCCCTGCTGGCCGCGGCGAACACCGCGCTGCAGGCCTCCTGGGAGCCGCTCGCGCGCACGGCGTTGGCGTCGCCCCTCGCCTCGAGCAGCAGGGACAGCACGTCCAGGCGCTCCCCCCCGACCGCCCAGAAGACGCTGCCCGCGTCCACGGTGGCCCCGGCCTGGAGCAGCAGGCGCACCACCTCGAGGTGCCCGCCCTTCATGGCGGCCGCCAGGTGCGACTCCCCCTCCCCCGAGGCCTCGTTGGGGTCGGCCCCGGCCTCCAGCAGCAGGCCCAGCGCGCCAGCCCTGTGACGCATGCGGGCACGTGTGCACCGCCGCCGTGCCCCATGCCAGGGCCACCCCGGGCCCTGGCACGGTGCACACGCCCTCCTGGCCGAGGCCCGGGGGGCGTGTGCACCCTCGCAGAGCCCAGGCCGGCCCTGGCCAGGCACGGTGGTGGTGTACACAGCTGCCCTCTGCGGACCTGTTGCCCTGCACTGCGGTGGCGACGCCCTGGCCCAGGTCGAGCTCGCGGCCCGCGAGCTCGAGCAGCACGCCGAGGGCCTCCGTGCCCCCGTCCGCCTCCACCGCGGCGAGCAGCGGCGAGAGCGTCCTGCTCCACCGCGCCCCCGTCTGCTTCCACCGCGAGTCCTCCGCGGTCGGGCAGGCGCGGGCCTCGAGGAGCTGCCGCAGGGCCTCCCCGCGGTTCTGCCTCCCAGGGGGGGGGGCCGAGCAACAAGACAGCTCTGTGTGAGCCGATGATCCTCAGAACGCGTGTCAGCGCCAGCGTGTGCGCGCTGGTCCACCGAAGCCCTTCGATACGACGCAGGCGGGGTCATGAGGGCCGTCACAGGCTGCGGGCGCTGGGCAGCGCTGCGCGGGGCAGCACACGCGCTGGGCCAACACACGTCCTGTAGGTCGTCGAGGGAGGAGCTCTGCGTGAGCACAGGCTGCCGGAGAGGTCCGAGCAGATCTCGTGGGTCGGCGCTGCGCCCCCCCCCATCCCCCCCCCCCCTGCACTGGTGGTGGCGCGCTCCGCGCGCGCGCCGGGGAAGGCGTGGCGGGGAGCGAGGCCCAGCGCCGACCCAGGAAGTCCGCGCGGGGCTCCGGAAGCCTGGTCTCGTGCCGCTTCGGTTGCCCTCCGAGCCGCGCTGCGAGCAGGGCCACGGACTCGCCCGAGGCGGTGCACTTGCTCACGTCCCCCCTCGCCTGGGCGCAACAAGGATCATAGCAACGCCACCGTCGCGGGGAGCCAGGGAGGGCCCCCCCCTGGTGGTGCGCCCCCCAAATTGCATCTCGGGAGGGCACCGTGGACCACGGGAGCCCACGGCGACAGCAGGACCGAGCGCCGATCGAGCCGACAGCGAGGCCGAGTCCACCAGAAGCATGCGAGAACAACACAACGCCGCGGCAACGACACGACAGCCGACCAGACCGATCCGACAGTGCGCAAGCGACTGCAACGCAGCAGACCAAACCAACCGACGGACACCCTTGATCGCGGACGCGATCGCTGGAGGTGGTAACACACGTCCCTATACTTATGATGTTGGCATAAATCTACCTACGTGCCGATCTCAAGGAGTTCCCCCAGTTTCTGAAGGCACAACCCTGAGCTTGTCATCAACTTGGGCCTGCCAGCCTCGGTAAATTATTGGGACTGGCAATGATCTCGAGGCCGATTGGTGGCCACTCCTCCTCCATTGGAGGCCGCCCAAGTGTGGTCCGAGCAGATGGGATCGGAGGATCACTTCGCATCGCCGATGCACTGGCGATGCGCTGGCGACGTCCAGACGGAGGAAATCAGGTCCAGATCGCTCTGCCCACGCATCGGCGACTCGACGTCCGAACATAGAAAATCGGGGCACGGACCGCTCCACATCGCCGATGCATCGGCGACGTCGGGGCGGAAAAAGTCGTGGCCCCGATCGCTCGGCATCGCCGATGCATCGGCGATGCGGAGCGATCCTCCGACCCCGTTCCAATAGGGGCGGAAAATTTGCACCAACACCAAGACAGGTGGCTGCCTCCACTGGGGGAAGATGATCCTGGATTCTGGTGCTGGTGGTAATCTTTCGCCCACCCGAGAAGCCTGAATAACTGTGACCACCATCACCGAACCGAGATCGGGATCACCTTCCCTCGGTGGAGGCACGCCGCTGATATTTGTGTTGGTGCTAACCTCTAGGCCTGAAAGGTTCGTCTCTCGTGAACTCGGGCCGCTGGAAAAACAAGTGGCTGCCTCCACCGGGGGAAAATGATCCTGGATTTTGGTGCTGGTGGTTCTGGCCAGGCCCGGCTTCCCCAGGCTCGCCGGGGCCCAACGAGAGCCCCCAGAGGTCGAAAACGACGACAAAACTTCGTCTTCATTTGTTCAGTACGTCGGATGCCTGATTTACCGCGAAAGGGGAAAAAACGTGCTCCATCTGACCTCAGGCCCAATGAAACCAACCACTGGGGCCTTGTGGTGGAGCTCCGTATGGGGCCACAAAACATGTGAGGGAGCGTCGATATGGAGTGAAACTGTGATGAGAATGACGATAGCGATGACAAGCATGAATATGACGATGCGAACGACGACGATAATGAGGATGATGCTGATGACAAGGATGAGGAGGAAGAGGATGAGGTGGAAAGGAAATGCGCGGCGCTGCGGATCCAAAGCGAAGACCCCAACGCTCTGGAGGGCTGGGAAAAACGGTTTCCGTCCGACCTCCGGCCCGGACTCTTGGGCGGCCTGGGCCCCCCCCATCCAACCACAATGTTTTTCTCAGGATCGAGCACGGTGGCTGCAGCGCACGCCGCGCGAGGCGGCTCACGGGCCAAAACGCTTACGGTTCGGGAGCACGCTGCGTGGATGCTTCTCCTCGCCCTGCACTGCAAACTACGATTCTGCTTGCCGCATGCCTGCTTCGCAGACCTGGCGTGCCACCCTCAGGCGCGCCAGTGCTAGCCTTAGGTCGGGGGTGTCCTCCTACAGGTGGATTTTGGCAGAAAAACAGAATATCCGAATTATAGCCGGAGTGCAGTTTCCCCAAACAGGGTTTTTAAACCCACTGCGGTTTCCAAGGTCGATCGCCTGCCCGTCCAGGGCGGGCTGGCACGGCATGTTTGAACATGATAGTATGATGCTTGTGCATGAAATGTTTAAACGAAAACTTGTGTGACGCATGCCTATCAGGAAGCTAACGCTAGAGGGTGTCGTACTCTCTCTCGCACCTGGTCGACGAGTAAGCTGTCGGGTCGGCACTGTCAGAGGCTCCACCGCCATGTTGTGAGCTCGGAAGCAATTGTAAGAGGAAACGGGGGAGGGCGCGGAAGCGGGGGAGCATGTCGTGATGGTTCCCCCTTGTCCCCCCTTGTCGCCTCCTCCTCCTCCTCTCCTCCGCGCTGTGGTCCTAATCCACATCATCCTCCTCCTCCTTCTCCCTTCCATGTCCTCATCCTTCTCATCCTCCCCCTCCACCTCCCTTTCATACCGAACGACATCTCGGAGCCCAGAGTTGCGAGGATGTCTCCAGCGGAACGGGCTGGACCACCTCGCGCGCGGCATCTCGGACCCTAGAGTTGCGACGATGTCTCGGGCGAAACGTGCTGCGAGGAAGTCTCAAGCGAAACGGGCCGAACCACCTCGAGCGCGGCGTCTCAGAGCTCCGAGTTGCGGGGGCCTCCTGGGGCCTCCTGTGGCCTCCTGGGGACCTCCTGGGGCTTCCTCCTGGGCCTCCTGTGGCCTCCTGGACCCCACCTGGGGCTTCCTGAAGCCTCTTGGGGCTCCCAGGGGGGATATCTAACATGTGGTCGTCTGGGCCCCTCGACACGGGG